GCCTGCTGTCCCGCCGTCCTCTCAGCAGCAGCATGCCGGACGTCAGGCTGTGCCTGGAGGCCGTCTCCGCGCTCCTGGGCTGCAGAGCCGAAGCGACCACCGGAAGCTCCCAGTTCACCCCGCAGGACCTGGTCAACGTCGTGGCCCTCAAAGAGTTTTACAAGCAGGAGGGCTTTCAGGAGCTGGAGTACCCGAGCCTGGGGACGCTGTCTCTGCGCGACTTAGACGAAGCCGACATGTACAGCTCCCCCGCGGCCCTGGAGGCGCCGCCCGAGAGCTTCCAGCTCACCGTGGAAATCAACACGGAGAACTTCTTCCATCCTCAGTACGACTACGACTTCACCAACGTAAAGGTGAGCGGCCTCTCGGGCCACGTGACCCAGCGGGTTTCTCACGCAGCTGATTTTACGGTGACGTTTATTCAGCGTGGAAAAACAAACCCATAAAAATAAAATACCTGCGCGTTAAACAAAGGCAGGAAGGTCAAAGGTCGAGTTTAAAGGGCCAGTCATTTCAAACACAGCGCTCCGACACTGATGAACTTTATGATCGGTGGTCAACCTTCATGTAAACACATGAAAGCAGCTCAAAGTGAAACTCGGCCCTGATTCCTGAGCAGCTCCAGACTTTCTGGAAACGCTGCTGGGCTGTAACTGAAACTGAAAGTGTGTGTGTGTGTGTTTGAGACTCATCTCTTTGACCTTTGACCCCTCTGTTCACTTCCAGGATGGAGATAAGAAGTTCACGCGTGGTAACGAGCAGTACATCCGCCCCTGCGGGTGGAACCGCGTCGCCCTGCGGGTCGTGCAGAAGTACGGCGACGGGGACAAGTGGCTGGGGACGGGGCAGGACGCCTGGCCCGTGTCCTACCAGGGCAAAGGCATGGATGGGTCCCTCATCCTGACCCACGGCGGCAAGCCCGACGACCAGCCGCAGTTTCTGGACGCCGCCGCCGCCTCTTTGTTAACGGAAGAGACGAAGGGCCGAGGGGTGTACTCCACGCCGGACATGGGGATCGCAGAGAAGTACTGCAAGAAGTTCAAGTCCAGAGTGGACGGGAAGACGTACCAGGTGGTCCTCCAGAACCGCATCAACCCGGAAAAAAGGAAGCGGTGCCAGAGGCAAGGCGTCTGGGTGGTGTACATCCCCGAGGACAGCAGCGACGTGAGGGTGAGGGCCATCGTGCAGGAGTCCGTCCGCCCGTACGGGCTGCTGCTGAAGCAGGTGTGACGCAGCTGGAACGACCGGCCGTCACTTCAGGGTTTTCACATCGTTAACAAAAAACTGAGAACATGCTTCAAATTCCCAACAGTGGGACTAATAAACGTATCCTATCTTATCTTATGCTTGCTCCGGGCTCCTGAAAGCTCTTTATTGGGAGGGTGTGGGAGTAATAAACCAGTTTATCCTCACAGTTTAGCACAAATACGACTGTCTGATCAAACCTCGCTGCTCCGCGCTGCCTTTCAGTCTCCTCACAGCTCCAATCACATAAATAAGCCTTCATGTCAAACACAGGGGGAAGCGTGCAGCACGGTTAGCGGCGTCCTGCCTCACGCTCGGCGTCAGAGTTGGAGGTCAGACCTCTGAGTCCCAAACTTCTTCACATTCCTAGTTTTTAAGACTCGATAGTGCGGCCGGGTCAGAGGTCAGATACCTGTCAGTCACAGGTGAGCACACACCGGCTTTAAGATTTTATTAATTAAACTTCATGTTGTTATTTTTAATAAGACTTGAGACCAATGAGCTCAGATAAATTGCTTGCTGCCGTCTAAGACACGATAGATGTTTATTGATCTGTTACCATGAAACACAGACAGCTGCTGCCCCCTGCTGGTCCCAGCAACGACTGCAGCTTTCATTTTTTGGACCTCAGAGCCACCTCAGGTGTTTCCAGGCTGAGCGCCGTCTGCAGAGACGCTGAAGCTGCTGATAATGATGGCATTAGATGTTTTCCTTCCTGTACGCACGGATGTCTCTGCGTCTTCTCCTCAGGTCGGGACTACGCGGTGTCCGCGGGCCGGACGCTGCTGCTCGCCTGCAGCGGCTCCTCCAAACCCAAACAGCGGTGGTTCCAGCAGAGGGAGGGCGAGAGGCG